ATAGCACAATCAATATATATATACGGCATACTGTGATTGATTGTATCAATGATGCGTTATTATTTAATAAAATAATATCTAATGGTAAACAACAATAAATACGTAAATCATTTACCTGAAGATGAGGCAGCGCTCGTATAACGGCCCCCAGCCTGTCGTGGAGGATCAACTCGGCCGAGTCGTTTACCTGGACGTGCCTGTGGCTGGGTCAGTGGCTGCTCAGCTGCATCAAAGTCATCATCATAAGCCTGCTTGTCATCATCATATGTCTGCTCGTCATCATCATAGGCCTGCTCGTCATCATCATAGGTCTGCTCGTCGTCGTCATCATCATCATCATCATCATGCCTCGGACTCCTGACTGTCGACTCAATGGAGTCCCGCCGACGAACAATACGTGGGTCTAACAGAGTGATCGAAAGATCTCCCCTCCCTTGGTACGGTACGCCAGTTCTTTCGATCGAACTCCCGAACGACAAGTAGAAGAGGGGTTTTTGCAGGTAAGATGTTTCAGATCTACCCCCTTTTTTTTTCATTACTATTCGAATCAATTACCTATCATTGAATAGGTTGGTGCCCAATCATAGTCAAAAGAAGAGTTTGATCCTGGCTTGGATGCACTTCTTGATAATGGAATCCGGGGGCAACCGATGAGGGACGGTCATAATCAAGTTTATGTTAACCCCCTACATATCTATATCTATTAGATATTTGTTAAATAAATTGCAACAGACACAGAACATATGGATTAACTCCAATCCTCCCCCATTTTTGGAGGTCTTTTCGACCCGTTTATTTGTCCCAAGTCGGGAGACGTCCAGAACTACTAGGCCTCACTGACAAGGACTGCTGACCACTCCAACTGCCAGGCATGAATGGGCCAGACTGAGGCATGAGTGGGCCAGACTGCTGACCACTCCAACTGCCAGGCATGAGTGGGCCAGACTGATGATGACTGGGCAAGACTACTGACCACTCCAACTGCCAGGCATGAGTGGGCCAGACTGAGATATGACTGGGCCATACTGCTGACCACTCCAACTGCCAGGCATGAGTGGGCCAGACTGAGGCATGACTGGCCCAGACTGCTGACCACTCTGTATCGGACTAACATGATGTCTCGAACTACCAGCCTGGGCAGTCTGTATCCTGCGAGCATGAAGGCGCATCTGTTCCCTCTCCCGCCGAACGGAAGCATTAACATTACGACTGGATGTGTGTCGGGGTCCAGAACCCTCGAACTCAGGAACATACTCATTAGCCTAAATCTAAAATTTTAAAGTAATAATTAGTATACATATTAATATATTTATTTCTTAATAATATATTATTAATATTTTTTATTAATCATATATATAATAATATATATGAAATTAATTAATTAAATTGCTAGTATTTATACATTTTTTAATTATCTATTATTTAAGTAAACTAAAATAAATTATATATTAAATAAACTAAAAGAAACGAAAATAAAATAAACTATATATTAAATATATATATATATAAATATATATCTATATATATTTTAAAAACC